ACTTCAGGCGACGTAATAGGCGACGCAATGCACGACACGACGTACGACGCGACGCACGACGGTACGACGTGACGGGCGACGGAAGGGGCGAAGTTTAGGCGGAAAAAAATGCAACATGGAAATGACCTTAGACAGCACGACGCAACGGGCGACGACACGATGCGACGCTAAACGCGACGCGTTGTGTGTGTACAAACGTTATGGCAAGAAGGCGACGGTGCGACCCGACGGCACGACGCAAGGGAGCCGTCGTGCCGTCGCGTCGTGTACTTGTGTCGCCTGGAGGGAGGCTAAAGAGAGAGAAAAATGTTTGTCGTAAGTAGTACACCGTACATAAGCCCGCGATTCAATAACAAAAATCCATGTACTGACGGGATGCAGTAATTTTTCCAGTTTGCGGCACTCTGTTCCATACGGAAGCGCATATAGGACATAACTAAAAAAAGAAAAAAAACACACACACACACACAAAATTGTGCCTGCTATTTCGCCCGGGCGGATTACTCTTCCACCCGGGCGGATTACTTATTTCGCCTGGGCGAAATAGTGAACCGCCTGGAGAGTGGCGTAGATTTGTGTGTCAGAATGCGGGATGATTTCCTGGGATGGGGTGGTTTGACTCAGATAGACCGTTCCGACATTTTTGCGCGCCATTGTGTCGAAGATGCAAAGTGACTCATGAAGCGTGCTTTCACTCCTGCATTTAGCAAAGGCAGAGATATTCTCCTAATTAAGTCACCTTTTTCCTGCAGATTAAGATAATGGGAATGTAAATAGAACTAATTGAAAATTACCCTTACGAATCTGTCAAACATTTTTAGTCATAAAACCTGAACAAAAACGCGTCAGTTCTCTACTCTGATCGGGCGCGGGCTCAGAGTCTTGCCATTCCCATGAAAAAGTTGCAGATTTTTTATTTGATTATGAAAAGAGCTTTTTCCTTGCATATAATTCTCTTTTTAAAGAACTGGAGAGAGTTTAACTTAGGCTAGTTTTATCACATTATATCACAGACACTCCATCTGCAGAAGGGAGGCAGTTTCATAAAATAAAGCTAATTGTTTATAAGGATATAAATCACCTTAAATTGATAGTACTTATATTCAAAGAGACTAGAATTGACAGCATCACTAAATTTATATGAATCAAATTTCTGGACTTTCAGGATCTTATTTTAATACTTATGGTAATTTTAATGCAATAATTGGTAACTTAAATGGCAACTAAATGTAAATTGGTGCTTTTTTTCGTTTGTAATGAACTTGTTTAGTTTGTGGAGTACTCAACAAATAGGTGAAAAATGACAAAAAAAGTCAGGAAGACCTAAAGCGTGAAAATGCAATGTGAGGCTTGAGAGAAAACTTGGGAGTGGGCGGAAACCGCCCCGGCCTTATTTTTGGGGCGGGGGACAGACCAAAGAAAAATGGACTTCGATTTGTAGAAAAAAATCATTTCCCCTAACCCCAGTCTCTGTCTCCCCCCCCCCCGAAAAGCAAACTTTGGGCACACTTCATAAAGAAACTTTGCAATTGAATTGATTTTGAATTGAAGAAAGTACTCAAAAATCCCTTTTTTTCCTTCCATCCCCTGCAAAAAGTGAGAGATTATTGTCTCCTGGGATACTAATCCGCCCGGGCGAAATAGTAATCTGCCCACGCGAAATAGAAGGCAGAACATTTTTTTCAGTCATGTCCTATATACACTTAGGTTGTTCCGCGATAAACTGAACGAATTTTTTAATGTCTCTCACAAACAGCATTTTTTCACGATGAAACTGAAAAAAAAAATAACATCCATTGAAGGGAAAAGTTTTATAATCAATCTGATTTCGTCTCTTACAGGTCAGTTTCATTTCTTTTATTTGGGAGACATGCTCTAGGCCATTCAAAAGCTTGGATATTCAACACAGTCTCCATTGCTGTGACTTGATTTGAGAAAAGGTTTACCAAAAATGTTATTAATATATCACGCTTTTATTTCATTATTCTAATTGCTTCGGCCCCCGACCCTAATTATTTTTAGCAAGCCTAAGGCAGTATCATGGCTATTTCTGTGTCAAAACGCTTCTCAAAGATATCCCGTTCGGATACAAGAATGCTCATTTTGCCACAATTTGCAATTGCGTGTTACTTTAGACGATAATATACTCTACATGTTAAGAAATATTTTCCATTTCTTTGCATGATTCAAATTGGCAGACCCCTAGCCACACTTAATTTCAGTAAGGGCTATATGGAATGCCTATTGCTGTGTTAAATCGCCTCTGAAAGATATCCCGTTTTTAAGATACACGAATGCTTATTTGCCACAATACCCTACAATGAAGTCTGCATGACGTACTCAAGATAATGCTCTATAGTGCAGACCACGCAGATTCAGCATGGGGGGGGGGAACCGGGGGTCCAACAAGTTTGGGCCAGTAATTGTACCTATACAAGAGGCAGATGACGCGTGGACATTGCAACATACCTCATCTAACTTCTCTTTTATTAGCTCTTGAGAGATAAATTATTTCTAAATAAGCTTATTATAATTTTCCCTTTCAATTTAACTCTCTCACTTGTTTGCTCATACAACTCGTACTGTAGTTTTCTAGTTTTCGTATCCTGTATTAAATATTTGGATTAATGCATTAGGGGTGTCGAATATAGTCGAGTCCCTTACGAGTCAGTGTACTTCGGTCCAAATTACTGTACAAGTCATTCAGTCGTAATTAAGAAAGTTAAAGCAACTAAATAGTGACAAAAGAATTGGTTTGTCATTACTTAAATCTTTGTCTTGTGAATGTTTTTGGAAGGACTCTTGACAAGTGTTTTGAAGAAATTGTGACGGACTCGACCAGAACACTGGGAATTCCTTCTTTGACGATGTCACGTCATCTTCTCTGCCGAGTTTGTTTGTCTTGTATATATATGTATATCTGTAAATATATTGTTAAAATTTCAGCAACTTGCAGAGTACTTTGGGAGCCCCAAGCAAGAAGTTAGCCTCTGGGGGTAATGAATGCAGTTTGCTCCATTTCAGTAAAACTTAGAGCAGCAGCAGCAGTAAACACTTTGATGTTGCTGGTGATGCCCTGTATGGTGTTCCAAAAACGACACTGCGCGTCACTGTCGACGTCGCTTTGCAAGACTCTTGGGGACACCATTTTTTTCTTTTGCGGGATGGAATTGTTTCATAAAGCCCCTTCAAGAGACACGGTGTACATGACTCTGAAATGTGGATTTAATCTTTATTTGTTGACAACTTCCACAGACAAAAATGCTTTTTCATTTTTTTTAAACCCGTAAATAAAAAAATCACTGAAAAAAGACAAGGCGCCCCCTTTCGGTCTGTTGCCATGGGAGCCGCCATCTTGTCTTTATAGGTTGCACTACACCAAATACGCACCCATAGGGGTACAGTCCGCTGATTCAAGCCCCGTTGAAAACAGTGTAAAATCAGCACAGTTCAGGGCCAAATAACATGCATGCCAACATCCCTGAGATTTCTGAAACACAAATGAAATGTTTGTCCGGTCACTAATCTTTCGATTTCTTTTCAATTTTTTGTGGGTAAACAAATGACATTTTTAATATATTCCCACACAAAAAAATCACCCCC